ATATATATATATATATGACTATTGCTGGTTTAACTTTTTTCATCTTAAACTAGATCTTTTTACTTTTCAAGTTCTTCCACCTGGCGTTGCCTTCACTGCACTAAAGTCAACTCTATCCAGGATGTGCTCTGTGACGAGTGTGAGCAGCCTCGCTTGGAACCCCTCGGCTCTAAAGAAGAGGAATGTCAGCCTGCTACTATCATCGGTCTGTTATCCTTTGGTGTATCTCAGGCTCTAGCAATAGCATGTTGTTATCTTTTATTTTTCTGGGTTTTTTTCCTCAACATAGAAACTGATGGCTGGCACAGTGCTGCACTGTTTCCAAATGACATGGAGCTTCTTGGTTTGAACTATAGCCCGGCCAATAGTCAATATATTAGTAACTGCATAGAGGAAACCTCCTTCAACCATGTTACCAGTGTTATTATAACATAGTTTGTCCACCAGGGTGCGCTCTGCAGCCTCCCTGCTGGCAGTTCTGATCCGAGTTGTTGGGCAGAACATAAACAAGTAATCTACGACTTGTTGAAGCAGGAAAACGCCATTATTATTATTATACTATGTTGTCATTATCTTAGTTAGTATTCATAAAGAACATACAATATTCATAAAAACTACACATAAGATCTACATGTACATCTGTTTATGTTTAGTGTGTATTAAAAACCTCCATTATTTGTCGTGATCATTTTTTTCCTTTGTAACAGAGTAATTCTCACAAAGGCTTCTGTAAGAATTTTGTTGTAAAGCTCAGTTTGAGTAATAACGTTTGTCGCTGTTTTTTAGAGTGGCAGTGTAAGAGCTGCACTATGGTGAATGCAGCCAGTAGTATTCTGTGTGAGGTTTGTGAACGACCTCGTTTGGCAACGCGACCTCCAGTGACCCCGTCGCACCCACCCATAACCCCACCCAGACCACCAGCACCAGTATTGGGGATGCCCGGTGACCCTGACAGTCAGGTTAGGTGTGTGAGTGTGGTCACATTTCTGCGCTCGTCCTGCTAGCTATCTGTTGCTAATAACATTTCATTACAGCGATTAGAGCATGCTGTAAATATTAAAGGTACTGCGCTGCAGTGGTTTAAGTCACATCTGTTTAAGGATTCATTTTTTTATAGTGCCAAATCACAACAGCAGTTGCCTAGAGGCACTTTATGTTGGCCAAGACCCTACAATAATAGAAAGAAAGCCAGAAAATCACATGACACGATGAGGACTCCAATTTATTCATCAAATATCAAACCACCAACCTTGCGATCAGTAGATGACCTGCTGTACCTCCTGAGCTACAGCCACCCCAGTATGCCAGTATGAAGTGCCACATGCTCTAACTGTAGACAGGAGCTTCCCTACTGGGGCCCCACCCAGGCCCCATAGTGGGGCTTCCAGGCAGGCCCCACATTTCATGCCTGTACCGAGACCCACACTACAGTACAATAATTTACATGTACAGAGGTGAGTGATCACTGTCAGGTTTACGGTTGTAATTTTGAGGCTTTAATAGTGTGAGTTAGATATGATTATCGTTCCTAACCATAACTCTTCATCAGCCATTTAATGCTGTGGCTGTTCACCGCATACATGCCAACCCTCCCGATTTTTCTGGGAGAATCCTGAATATCAGTGCCCCTCCCAAAATTTTCCACCATTCCTCCCGATTTTCCACCGGGACAACAAAATTAAAAAACCATATCCCAGATTTCATAGTGCGGTCCAGCCAATTCCAATTCCGATTTCCAACAATGGCAGCAGCGACTTAGTTTCAATATTACTCTTGTTACTCTTTCTGGGTCGTAAAATAAACTTTTAACATATTTTCAGGCGAGAATGTAGCTGAGTAAACTTCAAATATCTGAGCCGGAGAGAACAGCGAACTCCCAGCACATCGTTTTCAGACCCCCCGCAGTCTACTCAGGTTAAACATGATATATAAGTCACTTAAGATAACTTAAAATTATTTTTAACTTATTTAAGTTATTTTCTCCGTTAAATAAACACTGCAAAATTCATGTTTTTTACATATATATATATATACGCCCATATATGCCCCCCTCCCCAATGTCTCCCTAATTCTGAGGTCTCAAGGTTGGCAAGTATGGTTCACCGTGGTTAGTGACTCTCTTCCTGTAACTCTGCTCCAGTGGGTGTGTCAGTTCTGCACATATCTGAACTACTCTCCGGCTATGGTGTGTGAGATGTGTGACCTGGCTCGCCCAGAGCCTGCACCGCTGCCAGTGAAGCTCCGCCCTCCCTCTCCTGTTAGACGTGTCCCTGCTCTGCCGATCAAACCGAAGGAACCTGCTCCTGAAGATCTGGACTCCTGGAGGCAGAATTTGATAAAGGAGGAGGGGCTAAAGCTGATTCAACTAATCAGAGCAAGTCACCGTACTGTCATTATATCTGCATACAGAATTCTTTTCATGTCTTAACTAGAGATGGCACGATACCACTTTTTTATGTCCGATACCGATATCATAAATTTGAATATCTGCCGATACCGATATGAATCCGATATAGTGTTTTTTAATCAACAAAACTGTTTTTTTAATATCTTGCTGCATTTTGTATAAGTTCATACTCAAGTTAAAAACAAACAAACACTAAAGCTATTCTGTTAAACCTGTATGTAAAAAATACACTGCACCCAAAATATTTCATAGTTCAGCAACACTGATCAATCTAATAAACTTAAACCTGCTCCATTCTCCCTATTCTGGTATTTTAAAGAGTACTTAGCAGAAATATTAAGCAACCTAACTAATAGGGTTGCAAACTCCCAGCAAAAAACAAAAAAACAAAAAAGGGAACCACCCTCCACCTCATGATGCTTAATCGACGTAATCAACTGTAATTTGATGCAGTTTAAAAAAAAATACACAGAAATAAATTATTTTTCAAGAACAATTAAACAGATTCAACATCTTTCTTTAACAGAACTGCAGACTGCACAGATGGTACCTTCCCAAAGGAAAAAGTACTACAGCTTACTAGGGTATATTAGACTTAACAGTTACTATATACAGTAATGGACTTCTATATATTTTACATCAAATTAAAACTTTGGGTGTAAGATTCAGATAATTATTTATTAAAAGCTCGACATTTTAAATAAGAATAAGAAAGAAAAGTATGTCTTTGTGCCCCCCTCTCCCTGTTAATGCCCTACCTGCCCCCCTGGCAACACTTTGCTAGACCCGCCCCTGCACAGTTACCAGCCGTCAGCTGCGTAGAAAAAGATCCTGGTGTAGAAAGTAAATAAATTCTAACAACAGCTGATCAAGCTTAAACGTGCTGCTGTTGTTCAGCCGCTGGTTTCCTCTTTCTGGCGCGAAGTGAACAATAAACAAAGAAGAGAGACGGACTCGCGACAGAAAAGCCGATCAGCTGATCATTGATCAGTTTCATGATTGAAGTAGCAGCAGGAGAGGAAGAGGCAGTCGCTCCATATATTAGTTGTTAAACTTAACGCTGGAATGCTTTACAAACATTCAGAGATGAACTTACACACTTGCTTTACTTCTCTCTGGGAAAACTTCCTCGGAGATGAAATGCCGGATTGCTAACGAGGCTGCAAATACACACAGCCGCTCTATCACGTGACCCGTTCTGCTGCGATGTGCTACGGTTATGAGCCAAGTTACGCCATGTCGCAAGTTTTGTGAGGTGCTTTTTTGATATTTAATGGATCGGATTACACTTTTTTATTTTTCTCCGATATCCGATCCAGTAATTGACATCAGTATCGGACCGATACGTAATATCGGATCGGTCCATCTCTAGTCTTAACACAAGTTCGTTTGTTCTTCATGTCTGTGTCAGCATGGGGAGAAGAAAGGAGTGAGTCCAGAGGAAGTATACACAAGCATGAGGGTAGCTGGGGACAGCAACATCCTGCCCTGCAAGTGGTTAAAGACTGAACTTCCCCTGCTGTTAGACCAGATCAGGATGTTGGTGGCGACATCGTCCTTTCAGTCATTTTCAGATAAGACCTCAACTGAAGACAAAGTCAGTAACCTCCTGTTAAACCTGACAAATCACTCTGACTATAGTTCTGTGTTTTCTGAAAGTGAAACTGTCCTGCTACACAGAATAACATAACACAGGATCTCACCAAGGAGGCTGGCAAAGTGGTAGATCTTGCAGAAACAGAAAGTGTGATCCAGCTTTCCAGACCAGAAGCTAAACACGCCTGGCTTACAGCAGGGGGTGACACAGAGAGAGCTGCCAGACAAGCTCTGAGAGACCGACTCGCCAAGGTGATGTTTGGTCAAACGTTTAGCATTGTTCCCTGATATTTCATGACTCCACCCTTTGTGTAGACATTCAATTATATTTCTTCATTCTATCCTATCAGGTAAAGGAGCTGTGTGCACTCGGCTTTAGTGATGAAAGTCACTGTCATGAGGTTTTACGGCAGAGTGGTGGTGAGGTAAGAGGAGCCTTGGCGTTGCTACAACGACCACTTCTGGAGCCCTTCCACAAACGCATCTGGAGTGAGAAACCTGAGCCTCCTGTCGATATCCACCATCCTGACAAGCAGGTAAAACCACAGCCGTGTGATGTCATTCACTGGTTTACGCTGGGGCCAGTTTAAAGCCCAGATCTTTAGTTTATGGCCACACCGGGGATTTTTATTTTGGAATTTGTAGGGTTTTTCAAATGGGTCATCCTCATTTCTTTATATTTTGCTTCCAAGGAGTCGGGATTTCTTGGCATTTTTTAAAGTGGTTATTGTCTTTCTGAAGGCCATTTAAAGGTTTTCTTTGGACATTGCTGTTATTTCGCTCATTTTCAGTCCTGTCCTTGTTCTTGACCATTTTCAGTGTTAAGGTCCAGTTCAGTTCACTTTCATTTATATAGCTCCAAATCACAACAACATTTGCCTCAAGGTGCTTTATATTGTTAGCCAAAGACCCTACAGTAATACAGAGAAAACCCTCTATGAGTAGTGCTTGGTGACAGTGGGAAGGAAAAACTCTACAGCGTTATTTTTGTGTCTCTATTGTGAGTGCATGTATAAAAAAAAAAATGCAAGTGCAAATGTTGTATTTTGAGGAGAAAATGATTTTCAGTGCAGAAAAGTCGATTCGAGCGAACAAAATTCATTTCTGCCTGCAAGAAATGAATTTCAGTGTTTGCTATTATCCATACACACACAATAACAGCCCCTCTCGCTCAGATCGCTGCTCTGTGTGCTCACAGACATCTGCAGACCGGCTCTCGGTGTGTCACTCTCACTCTCAAATAGTGACGTGCGAATCATGAACGAATCGTTCAGTACTTGAGAATCACTTTACTGACTCGTGAATCATAATTCACAAGCCCAACTGACTCACCGACTCATCGCTGTTGCTGTTAGCAAACTAATTTCATTAGTAGAAATATATCTAGCTTATAATTACAATTGTGTTGAAAAAACAACAGCCAGTTTCTTAACAAAA